CCGGGGTCTGACCGCCTATTTTTAACCATAAACTTTGCAGAGCACGGGGGCACAGGTCCAGGTGGCAGGAGACATGCTGCCCAACTCGACCGAGCGAGCCATCACCATCGCTGGGATCCCACAGTCCATCATCGAGTGCGTCAAACAGATCTGCGTCGTCATGCTTGAGGTAGGGCCTCCCCCCGGCCCTGTTTTTCCCCCAGGGAGGCACGTGCAGCGCAGGGATCCCCGCTGCCCTTGGTGAGCTGCGGCCTTCCTCGCGAGTGGAAACCGCTGAGGACAGAGAAACGGCTGCTGGGGGATAAAGGGATAGCTGGGGATTACAGCCTCATCCAGGTGAGGCTTGGAGCTGCTTAAAACCGGGGTCGAGCCAGGCCTCTGGAGCTGCTCACTGGCTAACGGTGTCACCCCCAACTCCGTGGTGACCGGTCGTGCTGCCCAGCATGGTGACACTGAGCAGCGGCGTCCTGCTGTCCCAAGCCTCCCCTGCACGCTGCTCTGCTGTCCTCCCTCGGTCCCATGCCCGGGATGGGAGGGGGGGGTGGGGGGGAAATAGGATTGCTCTGTGTCCTCCCAAGGGGCCGATTTAATCCCGAAGCAGAGCGTTGGCATCTGGGGTGCAGGGAGAGGGGGACTGTTGGTGCCGGCGGCACTCGGTGTCTAACCTCTCCTCTCTGCCTGTCACCCAGTCTCCCCCGAAGGGCGTCACCATCCCGTACCGACCCAAGCCATCCAGCTCTCCCGTCATCTTTGCAGGCGGTCAGGTAAGGCCTCTCCTCTGCTCCTGGGGTGCGGGGTGGGGAGAGGGAGGGGGGGTTGTCTTACTGAGCTGCCACGCTGCCAGCGCACATCACCCGCTCTGCGTGCCTGTCACCCACGCCGCTTCCTCCAGTGGAGAGCGGTTCTGCTCGGCCTCCCAGAGCCCGCTCCGAGCCTTCCTCGCTGAGCTCGCTGAGGGATGGAAGGGGGCAGAGGTGGGATTGGGGGGGGGGACACATGCCAAAAAGGCTGATCTGGGGAGGAGGGGGTGCTGGCAAACAGCTCTGGAGTTAACCAGCCAAAAAAAGATCCCAGTGTGGCGGGGGGGGGGTTGTATGGGGCCTGGAGCCGCTGCCAAATCCAGGCTCTGCCCCTCTGCCCAGGGTTGGCTCTGAGGACTCGGTGTGGCCTGTTGTGGGTGACCGGCCCAGAGGGTTGGGGGGTTCTCTGCTCTCCGGGGCTGGCTTTTGGGGTGCAAAGGCTTAGCCGGGGGTGTGGAAAGGTTTCATCTTGCACGAGGGGAGGGTGTCAGATAGGAGTAGCCATCAGGTGATGTGGTATTTAGTCCCTCCCGCGCTGAGCTGATCCAGGGGCGTTGCTTGCTCCCTGCTGCCGAGCCAGGTTACAGGTGACAGGGCTCCCTTGGGATCCTGTCTGCTGTAAAGCCCTGAGTCCCCCTGGCCCTGTTTGGGGCGGGTGGGTGCTGGCTGGGTGTCCTCGCCCGTGGTCCCACCCAGGCCGCTGGGCAAGACGGGAGGCTCAGGCCTGGGTGCGGGTCACCCGCTCCCCACCCTGCGGTTCCCAGGGCTGCTGGTAACGCTTGGAGAAAACGCGGCGACTCGTGCAAACGCATCCGCTGCCTTCCTGCCGTCAGGGGGATCCCTCCACCCCTAGCCGGCCCGGGGACCCCCTCAGGCAGCGCAGGCAGGGTCCGGCGTTGTCGATGGAGGCCTCCGTAGGCGGGGAAGGGGGTAGCTGCTGCCGGCTTCCCCGAGAGCCAGGCCTGACTCTGCTCTTCCCCCCACCCCGCC